AGAAAGCGAGAAATCACCCCCCAGGGGGGATGGTCACGCCGCAATCCCTTCTCCTCCATTCTCCTCTCGGGATCTTGGGCACGCACGCACACGCGCCCGGCGTGAGTTTTAAGCCACCGGGTCCGGGACACGAACCGCGGTCAACTACGTGGGAGTCCAGCGACATAGCCATTACGCTAACTGCTGGTTCCCTTCATGCCAAGAACTTTTGATTCCATGAGTTATTGGAGTGGGATCTGTGTTTCCAGGAGGAATTTCTTGCCATACTCTGCCATTGGGATTTAAACCACTTCCTTTAGCTGTTACCTGCTATTTGCTATCAGAAACAGAAATCCCGTGCCGCTTAACCCCATAAACGCTCCATGAAGAGCAACACGTCTTCCTCCACTGGCCCAGTCGTTCCCGCCACTGCAACTCCAACTGGCTCAGAGGCCTGAGCCCCAAACCTATAATGAACACATTGAAGAAATAATCATCCCAGGGCAGGGGGTGATTTCTCACTTTCCCTCTCATTGTCTCTGTCTCTCTCCAGTAAGTGACCACACCCTAAGGCAAAAACCTCTACAAAAAGAGACAGAGAGAGAGAGAGAAATGATCATCTCAGATGTCATTCCTTTTCCCCCTGCCCCTAGTTGCCCGGCCTGATGTGAACGTCTTTCTCTCCAAGAAGAGGCCCCTGCAGCACCACAACATGCTCATCTGCCATGTGACAGATTTCTACCCCGGTGACATTCGAGTCCGGTGGTTCCTGAATGGAAAGGAGGAAACAGATGGGGTTGTGTCCACCAAAGTGATCCGTAACGGAGACTGGACCTACCAGATCCTGGTGGTGCTGGAAATGATCCCCCAGCAGGGAGACGTCTACACCCCCTGGACAGGCCTGTCACCGTGGAGTGGAGTGAGTTACTCCCCAGTCACCCTCTGGACTCCAGGCTCTGAGGCCCACTCACTTTGTCTTGTGCCATATACATTGGGGTTACGTCACCCCAGGTTTTCTCTTTCTTCTTTCTTTCTTTTCTAGCTAGAGGGCACAGGCCAAGAGAAAGAGATAAAGCACCCCCCAGTAGGGCGTGGTCATGCTGCAATCCTCTTTCCTCCTCTTTTTCTCCCTTCAGTATTTTGGCCGCACAAGCACATGCAGTCAGCATGTTTTCCAAGTCACCAGGACCAGGATTTGAACTGCAGTAGGTTCGGTGGGATCCAGCTCCTAATGCACAGCACTTAACCACTGTGCTACAGGCTGGCTCTCCACCACTCCCCCCAACTCCACCA